ACACACACACACACACACACACGGTGAGTTGACATTGTTCTTAATGTCCTACCTGAGGGCAGGACCCACCTGGAGCTGCAGGCTCACCTGAGAGTGTGAAGGACACACACACACACACACACACTCCCCTCAGGCTCCTATGCCATTCAGAATCCAAAATGCATGAATGTGAATTCTATTGTGATTTTGCATTTAAGAGCATAGAATTAAAATGTAATGAAATTGATGCAGTTGCAAATTATACTTTTTTTTCAGTATGAATTAGCCATATACATCCAGAAACATTGGGTGTTAGGTGCAATGCCACCCAAATTAATTTGTATTTAATTAATTTGTTTTTATTGACCATAGTAGAACATTTCAGATCCCATAATACTCTTAATTTACTATATTATATACAGTATATTCAGATTATGGTGTCAGGATTTTATTTTTTATTTTATTAGGAAGTTATTTGAAAACAGGAAGATGGACATTTTATGATGATGGAAAGCAAAATTAAAATCTGTTTTTATGTAAAAATATTTGTAATGAATTTAGGCCAGATTTAGATTTTTTTTTCATATCAAAGATAAACTTTAAAAGCCTTTTGCAGATTGTTAATTTTCATATTCTATACATTTTAACCTGTTTCTCACAATGAAGCACCATGAAACAAATAATACAAATTTTCTTTGTATAATATTTGAATTGTACAGTAATTAGGGTTATTATAGTAAACTAAAACCATTAAAAAAAGCCTTTGTCATGTCATAAAACTAATTTAACCATAAAAAAAACCTTTGTCATGTGAAATAAAACTAATTTTAACTAAAATAAATCAAAATTTAAAATTTGTTTGGCAATATAGTCCTCTATGATTTTTTTATAACAACATTTTTAACGAATTGAGGTCAGATTTAAAAAAAATTTAAACCAATGATAAACTTTAAAAACATTTTGTAATTTTTTTCCTCAATTTTATGCATTTTAACCTGTTTTTCACAATAAACCAATATGAAACAAATAATAAATTTTTTTTATTTTTTTGTCGTTGAACATGGAATACATTTAGAGCTGTAGTATTACTCAATACATCAGGGCATAAATGGTGTACATACACAAAAGTAATAAATAATTACACATTCATTTTGACAAATTTTTAAAATTGGAATTAGGGTTATTATAGTAAACTAAAACTAAAACCATAAAAAAACCTTTGTCATGTGAAAAGTCCTCATTTGTAAGTTGCTTTGGATAAAAGCATCTGCTAAATGACTAAATGTAAATGTAAATAAAAAAAGGGGTCAAATTCAAATTTTCCCTGAACTCTGATTGTTCTGCTTAATGAAAATTTGATAAACAACACCATGAATATTTCTGAAACACACACAGAGAGGGAGAGAAAGAGAGAGCGAGAGAGGACACTGGGAAGCAAAGAATCAGATGCCAAAGAGGAGAGAGAGAGAGAGAGAGAGAGAGAGAGAGGTGCATGATCCTATGGATGTTGAAGGCTCAGCAAACACAGAAAGAGACTGGAATGAAAGTGAGAGGAAAGTAAGATTATTCAGGCTAATAATCGAGAGAATCAAGAGTGACGGGGAAAGCAGAGGGAGACGGACTGCAAACTTTAATATTACAGTTAAGCTGTTTTCTGTGTGAATATATTGAAAAATGTAATTGTATCCTTGTTATCAAAGCTGAATTGTCAGCATCATTACTCCAGTCTTCAGTGTCACATGATCCTTCAGAAATCATTCTAATATGCTGATATGCATATGCATGCATCTAATATGCATTTAATTTGCTGCTCAAGAAACATTTTTAGTAATTTTATAGTTTTTGTTTTTTTTCTAAACCATGTTTTTCATGGTATTTTTGTGGTGATTTTTTTATTTGCACTGTGCTATATATTGCATTTTATTTATGTAATGATATGTAAAATATCACATTATTAAGTTGGCTTGAGAAAACCAACTTACTAAAATGCTATTTAAACTTCTTCTTCTGAGACTAAAATCTCTGACTGCTACTCCTCCTAGAGCTTTAACTCTACAAACTCCAAACTCAGCCCAGCTCTTCAGACTGATCTGGCCGGGTGTGCTATATCTTTTCAAACTGATCAGACTTACCGTTTTCATAAAAATAAAGATTAAAAATCATAAAAATTCCATAGACTTTCTCTGACGGAATGTTCAAATGAGCCTAGACTATTCCAACTCCAACTGTCAAAATTTTAATTTAAACACATTGAAGCCCATTAGACTCAATCAGACTTCCCTTCTATGTACTATTTCTAACCCATTCAATCTCATCTATCTATCTATCTATCTATCTATCTATCTATCTATCTATCTATCTATCTATCTATCTATCTGCTAGCAACATGCAAGCGACTTGCTAATCATGATAACATCATGCTAGTAACATGCTAATCATGTTAGAAACGTGTTAGTAACTTGCTAATCATGATAACAACATGCTAGTAACATGCTAATCATGCTAGAAAGGTGTTAGTAACTTGCTAATCATGCTAACAACATGCTAGTAACATGATAATCATGATAGAAACGTGTTAGTAACTTTGCTAAGCATGTTAACAACATGCTAGTAACATGCTAATCATGATAGAAACGTGTTAGTAACTTGCTAATCATGATAACATCATGCTAGTAACATGCTAATCATGCTAGAAACGTGTTAGTAACTTGTTAATCATGTTAACAACATGCTAGTAACATGCTAATCATGCTAGAAACGTGTTAGTAACTTGCTAATCATGATAACATCATGCTAGTAACATGCTAATCATGCTAGAAACGTGTTAGTAACTTGCTAATCATGCTAACAACATGCTAGTAACATGCTAATATGATAGAAACGTGTTAGTAACTTGCTAATCATGCTAACAACATGCTAGTAACATGCTAATCATGATAGAAACGTGTTAGTAACTTTGCTAATCATGTTACCAACATGCTAGTAACATGCTAATCATGATAGAAACGTGTTAGTAACTTGTTAATCATGCTAACAACATGCTAGTAACATGCTCATCATGCTAGAAACGTGTTAGTAACTTGTTAATCATGCTAACAACATGCTAGTAACATGCTCATCATGCTAGAAACGTGTTAGTAACTTGTTAATCATGCTAACAACATGCTAGTAACATGCTCATCATGCTAGAAACGTGTTAGTAACTTGTTAATCATGCTAACAACATGCTAGTAACATGCTCATCATGCTAGAAACGTGTTAGTAACTTGTTAATCATGCTAACAACATGCTAGTAACATGCTCATCATGCTAGAAACGTGTTAGTAACTTGTTAATCATGCTAACAACATGCTAGTAACATGCTCATCATGCTAGAAACGTGTTAGTAACTTGTTAATCATGCTAACAACATGCTAGTAACATGCTAATCATGCTAGCAACATGGTAGTAACATCAAACTTTAAACTTTTTAAACTTCTTAAACTTTTCAAACTTTTTTTAACTTTCTGATCCGGCTTTCTCAAGCCAACTAAAAGTTTGTCTTGACAAACTTTTTTATCTAGTTATTGTTATTATTTTAAGTTTGTCTTAATATGATAATAAAAATGTTGTTGTTAATAAATAACAATTAGTCCCTCGATATCTCTTTGCCGCCTTGAAATCTTCTCAGTCTCCTAAAGTGTAAATACGACCGGGAAGTAAGAAAAAACACATTCAAATGTATTCTCAATACTTCAATTTATTCATAGAAATACAGATATTATATAGGCATATGTCGAGGGAATCTTTGGCCAAGAACATGTGTTTATATAAAATGGCCACATGTACAGAAAAACATGGACATATTAGGAATAGACTTTTGCGAAGAATACTGAACTGTCTTCAGAGTTCCTCACGAACTCCTTTACCCTTGTAGTCCTAACATTCATGTCCTTATTGGGGCATTTAAACCAAGAAAACTAATGTATACATTTGCGCATGCATACCTCGCATATGAGTAAGAGATATTTAAAACATAATACAAGAGAGAGCAGAGAGGGAGAAAAAGGAAAGGAGGGGGAATAAGAGAGAGGGGAAAAAGGAGGGGTGAGGCATATCTGGAACCTTAACAAGACAGAGAGTGTTTTCTAACAGTCGTATTTTCCTCTGCCTCTGAAATTAGACACTTTTTTACCATGTAATCAATTTCTGATGAATTTTATATATATATATAAAGTTTTTTTTAATATATATTCTGTTTCACATTTAAATGCATCATATTAAGTAAATAAAGTGTATTGCCCGTGTTGTATTGTAAATCTGCTGTGATCTGTCTGTAGATAAGTTGTATGATGATCTGGAGCTGTCTGTGGTGTGTCACCGTCCCGAGGGTTTGGAGCAGCTGGAGGCTCAATCCAACTTCAGCAAGAAAGAGCTGAAAGTGCTGTACAGAGGCTTTAAAAACGTATGCAAGCTCACACACATGTAGACGTGTTTTCCTGATGGTCTGTCTGCTCCTCTGTCAAAATCAAGCGTGTGTTTTTCTGCTTGTTTGTCAGGAGTGTCCCAGTGGTGTGGTCAACGAGGAGACGTTCAAACAGATCTACTCGCAGTTCTTTCCTCACGGCGGTCAGTGTGTGTTTGCAGCTGATCTGTCTGTGTCAAATCACTTGATTATATAGTTGCAAAGTGTTCTTCATTAGTTAAAATGATCCTTCCTAGTTCCTACTACAGTGATTGTGAGCAGGATCTCACTTTTTCAGATGCTCATAAAATGACCAAATTATGTTTTGCTTCAAAACTACAGATATCAACAGGTTCTGTGAGAGTTAAGCTTAGGGTTAGGATGTATATCAGTTATTTTACTCTCATTTATATAGTATTATAGTTTTTGTTTTGATTTTGATTTTGATTTGATTTATATTTTATACTGTTTAAATGTTTTATTTGAAAAGTTTTAGTAATTTAGTCTGTATAGTTTTAAGTTTTACTTTTTAGTTTGTTCGTTTAGTTTAATTTTAGTACTTCAACTTGAAAATTAGAAATTTAGTATTTGCATCTAGCTAAAAGTTTCTTTTTTTAATCTCATTTTACTTCAGTTTAACACTTGTTGGCATATCTGGAACCTTAACAAGACAGAGAGTGTTTTCTAACAGTCGTATTTTCCTCTGCCTCTGAAATTAGACACTTTTTTACCATGTAATCAATTTCTGATGAATTTTATATATATATATAAAGTTTTTTTTAATATATATTCTGTTTCACATTTAAATGCATCATATTAAGTAAATAAAGTGTATTGCCCGTGTTGTATTGTAAATCTGCTGTGATCTGTCTGTAGATAAGTTGTATGATGATCTGGAGCTGTCTGTGGTGTGTCACCGTCCCGAGGGTTTGGAGCAGCTGGAGGCTCAATCCAACTTCAGCAAGAAAGAGCTGAAAGTGCTGTACAGAGGCTTTAAAAACGTATGCAAGCTCACACACATGTAGACGTGTTTTCCTGATGGTCTGTCTGCTCCTCTGTCAAAATCAAGCGTGTGTTTTTCTGCTTGTTTGTCAGGAGTGTCCCAGTGGTGTGGTCAACGAGGAGACGTTCAAACAGATCTACTCGCAGTTCTTTCCTCACGGCGGTCAGTGTGTGTTTGCAGCTGATCTGTCTGTGTCAAATCACTTGATTATATAGTTGCAAAGTGTTCTTCATTAGTTAAAATGATCCTTCCTAGTTCCTGCTACAGTGATTGTGAGCAGGATCTCACTTTTTCAGATGCTCATAAAATGACCAAATTATGTTTTGCTTCAAAACTACAGATATCAACAGGTTCTGTGAGAGTTAAGCTTAGGGTTAGGATGTATATCAGTTATTTTACTCTCATTTATATAGTATTATAGTTTTTGTTTTGATTTTGATTTTGATTTGATTTATATTTTATACTGTTTAAATGTTTTATTTGAAAAGTTTTAGTAATTTAGTCTGTATAGTTTTAAGTTTTACTTTTTAGTTTGTTCGTTTAGTTTAATTTTAGTACTTCAACTTGAAAATTAGAAATTTAGTATTTGCATCTAGCTAAAAGTTTCTTTTTTTAATCTCATTTTACTTCAGTTTAACACTTGTTAATATTTTGTTTTATTTATTAAAAGTTAAAATGAACTAAGATGAATAAATGCTTTAAAAAGTATTTTGATTGTCTATATAGTTAAATTTTTTATATTTAGTTATTTTAATACTTAAATTTAAACTAAACAAAAATGCGAAATTTTGTCTTTGCAACTAGCTGAAATAAAATGTTTTTTTAATATATTTTATTTTACTTCAGTTAATGTTTAACATTTATTTATGTTAATATTTAAATTTTATTTCAAGTAATTAATTTTTTGTTTTAGTGTTAACACTTTACAGTACGGTCCCATTAGTTAACTTTAGTTAATTAATTAACTAAACTTACAATCATCAATACATTTGTTGTACTATTTATTAATCTCCGTTAGCATTACATAATAAAAGTACAGCTTTTTATTTTTGGTTCTTGTTAGCTTAGGTCCATGAAATAATTTAACAGATACAACTTTGGATTTTAATAATGTGTAACATTAACTAAGATTAATAAATGCTTTTGAAGTATTTTTTATTTTTAGTTCATGTTAACTAATACAGCTGTAAAGTGTTACCGTTTCACATTAACAATAACCTTTGTATAGATAAATGTCCTTAGCTAACTATGAAAACGTATTTGAGAGGTTCTCAGCTTCAAAGCTGTTTATACGTGTGTGTGTGTGTGTGTGTGTGTGTGTGTGTGTGTGTGTGTTCTCTGCAGATGCCAGCACATACGCACATTACTTGTTCAACTCCTTCGACTCTTCCCAGAATGGATCCATCAAATTTGAGGTGCCATTTCTCTTTATTTATCCATTGTTCTTCACCTCCTTTGTTTCTTCTGTTGTTATTTTTACTTCTGTGTCAGCAGGGCTTTATGATTGTGTCTTCAATGATAAATCACTCCTCATTGTTTCTCTGTCTTTCAGGACTTTGTAACGGCGTTGTCCATCTTACTTAGAGGAACAACAACAGAGAAGTTACAGTGGACCTTCAACCTGTACGACATCAACAGAGACGGTTACATTAATAAAGAGGTGTGTGTGTATCAGTCATCACTCTAAATCTCCAATAATGTCTTAGTAAGATGATATTTGAATGCTTAATTTGACAATCAAAATGTATAATGCAATCCAGGAGATGACTGATATAGTGAAAGCCATATATGACATGATGGGCCGCTTCACGTATCCTGCTCTGAAGACAGACACTTTCAAACAGCATGTGGATGCTTTCTTTCAGGTCAGTTTGTTATGGTACATCTTGAAAATTTTCTGTACAACAAGATGATGTTGTTGTCCGTTTTCATTGCATTATAAATCACTTCTTTGCAGAAAATGGACAAGAACAGAGATGGAGTCGTCACTCTTGATGAGTTTATTCTCTCCTGTCAAGAGGTATACAGTACCTGTTCATGTTCAATATGGCATACTATGCATACTATTTTTGTAATATGTATATCGAGTGCAAATTTAGTATGCATGGAATAACCAAATGACCTAATATATTAAAAAAATGTGCAGTATACAAGCATACTAGTCACACTGTTTTTGCAGTATGAATGCAGTATGCAAGGCAAAACCAGATGAGCGACAACATTTGCTAAAATGTGCCGTATTCATGTATTCTTTGCACTGTATACATACTGCAAAAACAGTATGTAAAGCATGCTTTTATACAGCACATTTTTGCAAATGTAGTTGGTTATCTGGTTATTCCATGCATAAAAATGTGCATACTGTGCACTGTATACATACTGCAAAAAATACCATGCACAGTATACAAACTTGGTATGCATGGAATTTCTGATCTGATTATTAAAAGGTGAACATAATTTTCATATATTTTATGTATAACAATAACTACTCACTGAATTAAACATAAGTGAGTTTGTGACGATGTAACATGTTTAAAACATTTCTCACTGCATACTGCTTCACATACTATTTCTTTAAAACGTAAACGGTATATACTATGCAGTATGCAGTACACTAGTATTCCATTCCATTGGGAGCCTGTCACTTTCTTCCTCTCTTAAATGTAAGCAGTGCCCTCTGGTGTCAGAGTGAGTACTGCACTATTGATAAAACATCTGTTAAATCAGTCCTGTCCACTGACAGCCATGCAAAAGTCTTTATTTATTTATTTATTCCAATTTTTATTTGATCAGTTAGGTCATTCCAGACTAACGTTTTGTTAAAAATAAGTGGATTGTGATGGTTTTAATAGTGTTATTTTAGTATCATTGATATAATATTATAGTTTTTATTAATATTTTGAATTAGATTTTCTTTTCAGATTTTATTTAAACTAAGTCAAAATGAGAAATGTTGAGAAAATTGCTGAAATAAAATAAGTTTACTTTTTTATAGTCTATTTCCAGTTTTTTTTTTTTTTTTGTTATGTGTAATAACCCTGTTTTTAACTCCTCTTTACTTTTGATTCTAATGAAAAATACATTTTAAAGAAGTGAGGCCAGATGGCGCTAAATTCTAAACAAACTATTTTAGTTTCATTTATTTACATTTTTTACATTTGTAATCTTTCCAAAATAACTAGTTTTATTATTTGGTTATTTTGGTTCAGCATTACTTTTTAATTTTCATTCTTTGCAGCACAACACCAGCAGCTGAAATGTAAATGGTTATTTTACATGTCATTCATAAGCTGCTTCTTGTCTAATCAGGTGGTTCTTTTTTACTAGAACGCACCGATAGTATAACGACAGACTTGCTCTTTTTTCATCTTTATAATAATTTTTAAGTATAATTAGCTTGTTTGTGTTCCTTCCTCTCAGTCTCTTCCTCCTTTCTTTAGCCATGACTCATTGAATTTCTCTTTCTTCTCTTCACATTTCTTCTCTTCAGGATGAAAACATCATGAGTTCATTGCAGCTCTTTGAGAATGTGATATAGCGCCACAGGAAGAAAGAAACCAATGAACTGTTGAATCTGATCAAAAAAGGAGGAATAACTTTTACCCCAATCACCATGGTTACAGTTTGACATCACCTTGTTACCATGGCCGACTGTTTGATTTACGTGTCGGGAAAGCGGTGTGTCCTTTAAACCCCGGTGTTTGACCTCGTCCTGTTGCAGATGTGAGACTTGCACATTAATACCTAAAAAAAATGGAACTAGTTAAAAGAGCATGTCAGTAATTGTGTGTCAAAGGCCCAGTGGGTTTCCTAGAGGTCCTGTAGAAGCCAACTGAGCTCTTTCCATGGGACTGAATTTACTGTGAAGGATTTGAAAATATGTCACTGATATCTGATTCATTTTAACCTGTTTATGGTGGATTTCAGGTACGTGTTTGCTGAACAACATTCGATACACTCGACCTGTGAGAGTTCTCCAGCTAATGTGCAACATATATTCAGCACATCTTATCCTAAGACCATTTTTATGTGTCCATCATTTAAGTAGAAATGCTAATCCAGTAGTATAACCAGTGGTTTTCTCATGAACCGACCAATCAGCAGTCATTTAGCCGGCTTTGCAGAAGTTGCTTGTCCACTGTGAAGTGAGAGTTTTGCGCTGTTTGTTTTTGCCAGTATTTGTCATGTGCTTGTGCATCTCCTCATCCTGACCATCACTGCTTGCTGTTCGTGTCCATTATTAGCGATAGTCTGCATTCATAGGCGGAGCGTGTGTAAGGCTGGGCACGGGGACTTGGGGCAAGAATGCCACTAAATTGGACAAAAATGCCCCTGCACAAACAAATTAAATCTATTACGTCTGTTGCTAACAAAGTGAAAATGAATAGACAGTGTCGATTGCGGCATTAAATTAAGATCTGCTCATGTTGCACCGTATTTCATTTTAGGCGTTTTTACAGTGTTGCACATTTTAACCAATCACACACAATTCTGTTGAGCTTAGGAATGCAATGGCCAATCAGAGGCGTTCAGATGAGTCATCGCTGAAACTCATCAGTTTTGTTGAGTGCGCGAGCCTTCGCTGACTGAATTCCGGACTCTTGCGAATTCTCTCATAATAAACAACAAAGCGCAGATGTACGTACAATGTAAGAGATTCATTTCACAGTGTATACAGCTTCAGTGATTATAAGGATAGTTGTGTTTTTTGAGAGTGCTTAAACTCGCGATAGATCAATGTTAGTGATAATGTCACTTTCTATATATAATTTATTCGCTGTTTGAATAACCGTGGAAAGGAAACGTTATATAATTATCAATTTCTAACGTTTTTATTAAATTGTAATCACGTTAAATACAATTTTTAAAAAAAATTTAGCCTACATGACACCCATGTCTGGTTCTTGCCTAAAAATACGGGTTTATGATGTTTAATACATTTGGCTGCGTTTAACCTTACCCTGGAGTTGGTTCACCCTCCGCCTATGCACTCGGCTCTTGTTGGCTTGTGATTGCTCTTAGCTCCGCCTACTCAAAATATCTGCTTTCTGATTAGTCTGTTTGTCTGTCTGTCAGTGTCATCGGGAGAAGATCTGACATAAGGTCACATTTCAAGTATTCTCAATATGTGGTTCTCATTAATGAAGTACAGTGATTTTATTTAAATATGCATAAATTAAAGGTAGCAGATGTCTTATTTCTTATGATTTTGGGCCGACGTGACACATTGGCTTCTGTGCAGATGGCAGCTCTGCATGTGAAAATGGACTTTGATTGACAGGTGCCGTAGCAAACTTAAGCAGTCACTATATTTGTATTTGTTTGTATGTTGAACTAATATAAAACCATTTTTTTTTATTGTGTGAAAGCTGTGAATTGCCAAAATTAGTACTGTTTTATGCAGCCATAATGCCACCTTACTGTGACATAATTTAAGAGAGCAAAAAATATAATGAAATGAATTAAAAGACAGCAAAAACAAAAGATTTATGGAACTGTTTGATTTGTCTCGACAAGGGCAACTCAACATGAATGACATTCACAATTCAATTGCTTCGTAATCTAATATATATCTGAGTGAATTTAAATATTAGCTGTGGCCTAATGGTTGGAGAGCCGGACTTGTAACCCAAAGGTCACAGGTTCAATTCTCAACATTGGATGAGATTTTAAAAATAGAGAATATATATATATATATATATATATATATATATATATATATATATATATATATATATATTTGAAATCTCCTAATAATGTGAACAAATACTTTTGTGCCAGGAAACATAAGCCACCATGTTCAAAAGTGTGTTGGAAGTTGAAACCTGTGTTTATCACAATCACAAACAATCCTGGCAGACCCGAATATGCTCTGATAACCATAGTAATGCTGTTTTTATATATTTTTTTCGGATAATTTGTGATTATATTATGACATGTTTTTGAACAATCACTGTGTCGGTACAGCATGATGAGTTTAATATATATGATATTTGAATTATTACACATTGTATATTGTATACTCTGCAAAGTAGGTCTGAATAATCAAATTGGGAGTGGCGGTGTCTCAGAGAGTTATATAAAAACTGTGTATTGTATAAAGTACAGGGACGACTGAGGGACGATTATTTTTCCATGATGTTGTAAAAGGAGACGGAGAGACAGACGGTCCATCAGACAGACAGATTGAGGAGATGGGAAGCTTAACCTTATATCCATTTGTTGAAATGTTGTGTAAACTATTTAACAATAAAATATTCGATGCATAATGCTGCTTGTTCAGTGTTATACTGTATTTACACGCCATTGCTTTTCCGGTTGCAAGTACGTCAACAATGACAATCATTAGTCGGTAATGCATCGCCACCATAAGAGCACAAAATAATTACGATAAGTACAATATTTTGTAGACTTTCTCACAGACATCATTTGAACCGTTCATATATACAGATCTGTGATTCAGCTTGTTTAACAGTTCGTTTCTGTCAACATTTCACCCTATTTTTCCAAGGCAGCATCTACATGGGACGGTGTTTGGAAAGTTTTTGTGTCCGTAACAAACTCAGATGTCATTACAGTTCACTATTCCCACAAAAAGTGCTTGGATGCTTTACAAATAAAAAATATCCGGACAAAAAGCCTGATTCATATTCAAATCTGACTGTTTTAGTTCAGTCTTCAGCTTCACTGTCCTGCTTCCAGCGTCATGGCGGTGATTTTAAGCCAGAGTGGTGGTTGTTGGGGCCAATTTATCCAGTCTCTCCTGGGCCCAAGGCTGGAGGTTCTGGAGGGCGTAGAGGGAGGAGTTATGCACACATAGAGGATCCGACGACACTGATTCGCTCATGGACTTCTGGAGGGCATCGGCCTGAAGCTGAAGCAGCATCCGATTGGCTTGCTGACGTCCTGCCTCTCTTTCCTCAGCTGTTTGCCTTCTGGAGATTTTGAGGTAAGATTACAATTAGCAAAATGTAGAAATCCTAAACATTTGACCCTTTGATAAAATTGATGTAATAAAGAAATCTGTGGATTTTAAATTAAATTATGATGATAATAATAGACCCTTTTTCACAGACTGTGATGTGTTTCCACAGTTATCATCAAGAACATAAATCTAGCTAATTTCATTTGAAAGTGTACGTTTATAATACTTTGTGTTTTATTACCTTGGCATTAAATTACATAAAACTAGTTAACGCTGTTGCATGTTTCTTAATACAAAGGCAAATTTGACATCTTTCTCTCTTCTGACCAACGTAATCAATCTCATTATTTTCCCACAGTATTTAAATTAAATGTATTTCATGTAATTGATTTCATTATAATTAAGTAGCCTACTTATGTCAAATAATTTACTTCAAATTTAAACAGTTTAAAGAAGTGTAGTCTACCTTGATTCTAAATGCCACATTTTCCAGTTACAAAAAATAAAAAGTGTCTGTACTGTTCTGAACTCTTCCAGTCATGTCTGTGATGTTTGGGTGAACGGATCTGGGTCAAACCGGTCTCACCTCCACTTGGTCCGTCGGTTCTGGAACCAGGTCTTGACCTGCGCGTCTGTCATCTTCAGGCTCTTGGCGAGGCCCGCGCGCTCCGCACTGGCCAGATACTTCTGCCGGTGGAAGCGTTTCTCCAGCTCGCAGATCTGCACGCGCGAGAACGACGTGCGGGGCTTTTTCCGTTTCGGGGGAGTTCGGTTCTGATACGGGTGACCGATCCGCCGGGTCACGGTGAACGGAATGAGAGCTGCGAAACACAAAGACATGAGTCATTTATGATGCTCTGTTCCTTTATATTTTATAAAAACAAATATATATTTTTCGGATAGCCTAATTCTTGTATTATTGTACTTAATTAGCCTAATAGTTTATTGTTCGAGTTTGAAACGAATTTTTGACTTTGTAGGCTAATTTTAATATTTGTTTAAGATACGTTTAAAACCTAGTTAAAATTGAACGAAACATTGTGAAAGCTGTTTTGTGTGCATCTTTAATGCTTTCTTTCCCAAAACAGCTGTTTGTCCACATGCACGACAACACTGTCCTGATCAATGAGGTCATCGCGTGCAATGGCAAAACATAAATCGAATTTGAGGTAATTTGATAGAACATTTATTAAATTTAATGTTAATGCAGATGTAGATGCAGATGGCTAATGCGAATCACTGAAACTATCACCTATGTTTGAAACAAAATACTTGTTTATAATTTTTTTTATAATTATTAAATATGATTAAATTAATATTTTTTACCCAAGGGAACACGAACAGAAAAGGATGCACTCATTTCTGAAGTGAGAGTTTTAAATGAGAATTTCCTTTTTTTTTTTTTTTACATTTAGCCTAGGCCTACTCAAAAAGTGTATTTATATATTTATTTTTTTCAATTTGTAGCCTATACGATTTGGGTCCGGACACAAGCACGTTTTCCTTCAAATGTCCTTGAAACCGTTGTGCTGAACTCTTAAATAATTCCACTTACATGTTGTGTGTACCATTTAACGTTAAAAAGGCCTGTTTACGATTTATTGACTTATTTGAAGAAATATACTCATTTTGTTACAGCCTACTTTTGGGCCTAATCATTGAATTAATATCTTAGATTAACATTAAACATATAACAGCAACAAACCAAATATTTTCTGCTCTTAATTGGAATGTTTTTGTCTAGTTTATAACCAAAATGTTTTATAGCGTGTAGCCTAAATATACTCATTTAAATTTATATGATTATCGATATCGTCACCATTACCATTTGATTTAACATATACCAGTTGATTATAATTAATATCATTACAAAATCTGTATGGTTATTATAGCAGTCAAGGTCGTATAAAGTTTTTCAGGGTGATTTCATTGTGATAAGCTTGTTGTAAGTTCAACCATATTTTTTGGAGAAGAAAGCTTTTTTTTTTTATTAATAATTATATTTATTAATATTTCATATCTTTGCATCTTGTGGACAAACTCCTGCATCCTCAGAGATGTTTGTCTTTTACCTGGCAGTCTGTCTTTAGGGAACCTGCGGTTATTGTCCATCCAGGAGAAACACAGCGCCGGTGCGGCGCTCACCATGGCCGGCGGCACCGCGACAGCTAGAGGTCTGTGCGCCGGAACCCGAATCACTCCACTGGGCACCAGAGTGCCGCTCAACCCGTACACCCGCCCGGAGTCCTCCAACGCGCCCGTGACTCCGGACAGAGAGACGGGTAAGGAGACATGAGGCGCGACGCTCGCCCTGGATGGGCTTCCCAAGCGGCTGTTATCCACAGTGTTTCCGACCCTGCTCTCTGGGTCCAAAGAACCCAGAATCTGGTCGATCCCGAATCGTATGGGTTCCTGATTTGATTTAGATGGCGGTTTCGGCTCGTTCGGCTCCGCGCGCTCCATGACTCCTAGTTGCGCAGTAGATTATGATGGATTTAGACAAATGAAATCACGTTAAGTGCGGCAAAAAAAGCTTTAATTTAGTTTTAGTCTTGTCCATGGTTTCGGATGACGGTCCTCGTTTCTCTAATTCTTTGTTTGAACTCTGACAGGTCTCGCCATCGATGCGCCTCGCGTCAAACTGTCGACTTTCCGCTCCGCGGCTCTTGCCAAACTCATCAGCTCGAGTTTTTATTGGTCGGCTGACCGAACCGTCATTATCTCTGTCTGTTGGATGACATTTAGGAACAGGGGAGGAAAACACTGCGAACTAGAGTCTCATCATGTAATTCAGTAATGTCATCAGACCAATTTCTGAAATGCGCATTTATTGGGGCTGAAACATGCTGCTGCTAATTTATTTACAGACGTCTCTCATTATGTTGAATTGCATTAGCACCGTTTTACGCACAAACTTTGAATTTACTTTGTAATGTTGTATGCAAGATTTGCATTTCCAGAAGGAAACAACAGTCAGAGTTTTCAATGCAGCAGAAGGATATTGTTAAATTTGAGTAGGTTTAGATTTTAGGGTTCTGCTTTGTCACTATAATACCATTCTTCCATATGCATATGCATATGCATAGGCTATTCTAACCATATTGCATATAATCAAAACAACAATTAGTATATTCTGTATTTGAAAACTATATATTGCAATCTCGTTTTCTCGTCCTGTCAGTTAAAAGTGAGTGTGTTTTCTACAGAAGGGATTCACTGAGATAAACGTGAAGGATCGATTGCGTTATCGATCGTTCGGCAGTAATCGGAGACTGTCGGTGTAGCATAGATTTGTGCCATGACGTTGATGAATGCTCGAACCCCACATGCCAAATGCTCTCCACTGCTCGTAATTTCATTCAGTAAAACTATCCTGCAACAGACCAATTAGATTTTATTACATAAATGTCAACCAAACAATATCCATCAAATATGAGAAGTTCTGTGCCGGACCGCGGCTCCGCGCTCTGCTGTTTGCGTGTGAGTGCGCAAAGGCTTTTAAATTGACGGCCACATTCGTGTCCTCACACCGGGAAATGGAGTGTTTGCCGAGGGGAGGCTGCTGGCAGGACACGCGCAATGAAAGAGCCGTGGAGATTGAGTCAGTAATGCAGTTTAGAAGCGTCTGAGCAGGTGAAATGGACATAAGCAGCCCCGGGCCCCCCGCACACATGCGCTGGATATTTTACCACCGAGAACCAAAGACTTACTTTGGTTTTTATTGGTGATTCTTTTCCTGGTTGAATGTTGTTTGCTTTGCAATTATTTGGCATGGATGTGTAGATTTGTATTTCAGCGAAAGCAATCCAATTCATTTGTCAAAACCGATCAGAATACCTTTAAACATCTTTTAAATGGACATATGTGGATCTTTCTATTGTGTTTCTAAAGGTGCTGTAAAAAAATATGCTGGATTTGACACCTGCTGAATTCAACCTTAATTGCGCTGAAAATCTTTTAATTTGGAGTTGCCGTTCTTTTTAAAATTTGCTTCTATATCTGTCATTATGCTATATTAAAACCAAATCTTGGATTCTTTTTAGTCAACTTGTTTTCTTTCTTTTAGCACAGCTTTTGCATTTCTCTTTGGAACTGATTGATTATAGGCTGATCAGAGCTTATATGCACCTCGGTTTTTTAGTGAAAAAGCATGATTTGTAGTAAACATTTGTAATACAATTAGATCATTCTTGGGATTTTTATCACCTTGTTACACTTGTGGTGTTCCCATTCAAAAAACAATATTTGCATATATATATATATATATATATATATATATATATTATTATTTTTTTTTTTAAACAAATATGCCTGTTGGTTTTTGAATGTCGGTCAGGAACAGCACAAGTGTAACAAGGTGATAAAAATCCCAAGACTTATCTCATTTTATTTAGTTGTTATATCCCGTGTGAGCAAAGTCGGTAGTTTTAATCCAAAGCGATAACATTAACTAGCATTTTCGGGTAAACAGAAAATCCTCACCGGGTCAAGATGCCCGAAACACAACACGAGATTAGACATACTTCAGCATCTTAACATGCAAGCAAATAGAAATATTTACTAGTTCAAAAAAATTTGCATCCAGTTCAGACGTTTTGTAAAAAAACAACAACAACACAAAAAACCCCAACAACTCTGTATCATTAATAAACCCAGAAAATCAACAAGTATGTCATTTGTGAGCTGAGGTGCATCCGCGTAATTTGCTCCCACATATCCTACTATTAGCGTGGCAGTTTTCAGCTTCAGTCTCTCCAGTGAAATGGACACGGTGTCTAAAAATGTGACACCGCCACTGAGCTTTTGACTGCTGTTAGTTTAGCGTTGACACATGAATGATTTTTTAAAAACCGCCCCATGAATGTATTCAGACATTTCTGGCAGAAACGCTTGACTCCCCTAAACGTGCTTCTGGCGTGTTTCCGTGCCATATGTGCACGCGGCGACAAATTTGGCCTGTTTGCTGTTAGACGCGCGATAATAGCATATAATTATGCGACATTTGCTTCTCCTTGAGATTGCTTTTTGTCAAACATTTATTGACACTGCAAAGCAGTTTTTCGTCGTATATCTTTGGTCATTCATCCGAACTGATTTGTTTTTGGTGGCTGTTATTCTGATCATATCTGCGTAATGGACCCCCGCCATCTCTCTCTCTCTCTCTCTCTCTCTCTCTCGCTCTCTCTCTCGTGATTGATTGAGGAAGCTCGGAGCTCTTCGCTGTCGTGTAATCGGCTCCCGAACGATATCACCCGTCATCCCGTTTCTCAGGGGTGTCCCGTGAGGTTTGATCCATCAGATGACCGAGTGAGGATAGAGGCCTACTGTGATTTTTCTAATTGCCCCAACAATGTAACGACCTCTTTAATATCCTTTTCTAAAATGTTTTATTTATTACTGTTCATCTGTATTGATCTAATTATTAAAATCATGCCCAAATACAAACATATTAACATATCAATTAAAAGTCAATGATAAATATGCATGCCTAGATGATTAAAAAGGAGAAATCTTAGAACAATCTACTTTAAAACACGTGCCAAGTTTCTGAAATGTAATCTTTTGTAAAACTTTTAAAACCATTTTCATCCAACATTTTTGGTTGCGACATTCAAATCAAATCAGTTTCAGATATAAGATATCAGTAACCAATTTCAGATAACAATTCACTGCTAAAAAATAAAAATAAAAAATGCCATTTTTAAAAATTAAGAATTAGATTTAAGGCTTTTCCTTTTTTTATAATCTCCAGACACATATTTTAGATACTTTTAAGACCCACAAAAAATCAATAGGACTTTAATTCTAAAGTTTAACACGTGCTCCTCATAGATAAGATGCATTCAGTTAATTTCTGTATGAATTGCGTATTCATGTGTGTAGGCCTACTGTTGAATATCTGGACATTTGATCCGCTATTAATCACGATCTCAGGTTTCAGAATTTAATTGCCGATATTTTTCACAATTAGTGTGCGCAAAAGTTTAGGAATATTGATGCCGAAATTCTTGCATTTAGTTTTCTTCTCTTCATATAAAGCCCCTGCATTCGCTGCAATGATTGAAGGTCAGATCCATCATTGGGCTCGACACATTAAATGTTTTATTCTCCGGAGAAACGGAGACGTATAAAACAGAAATATAAGGGAACAAAAGCCAACGATTTGTCTTTAAAATTACCCCCGTATTTGCATAATAGGGGATCCGGGTGTCGCGCCCGCGGGCGGCGTTTTTATTGCGCGTCTTCGGCGCGTTATCAATTTCCAGACTTTTCGAGACCTGTCACTGAAGAACACAGACAGAACCAGAAATATAAAGCAGCAAATTAGAATTAAGTGATATAAGGGCCGTATGTGCTTTTGAATAATAAATACGAGACTTTGAGAGAAGCGGTAGAGTTATATGAATTGACGCCGGTAAGTAATAGTGCATTTAAAAACATCTACTATGTTTTTATTATTATCTGTGCTGAAGCACCACAGAATGAGGCAATGTGAAGATCACGGGAGTTTAAAGTCTACAGTGGAAAAACTCAATGGGATAGAATATCCTCACAGCCCTGAAGCCAAACTGACACAGCAAATGACATTTAGACTGTTAATAATTCTCATCCTCCGTCACCCCATTAAATATTAAATAAAGCCTATTAAATGTAAAGTAATAGCCCGTGAATTCGCTGGTGTTGTTTAACATCTGTTTCCTCTCGCACTGAGACTAAAGCATTGATTCTAAGTCAGATTCAATGCATTCATACTGTGTGATGCAATGGTGCGACATTAGCAAGGTTAATGAGGAGGAACTCTGGTTTGAGTTCAGCAGGTTGTCTCACAGTTTTAAAACACTTTTGCATTAGACATTTATCAAATATGTAGATGTCAGTTCTCGTTAAACTCACACACATCCTAGAAGAGAAAAACATGCTCATGTTGCAATTCTTGTCTAGAACTATAGTTTTCTCATTTAAAAATCTTAAAAGTTGCATTTTGCTTTGTATTTTATTTAATGCAAAGATATTAATTCATTTTTATACTTTTTCCAGATACCTTTTGAGTAAGTTCTCCAAACTCACTGTAAAAAGTGTCCAATTAATTCAACTTAAAAACGTAAGTTAAGTTACTGCCTTAAATTTTTAGGTATAAACAAATTGATTGTACAAGCCATTTCAACTAATTTTTGTTTTACAATCTTGTCTTCGTGAATCTTGTGTAACTTATGAAGTTGAAAATGGTTGATTTTTTGAGGAGTGAAAGTAATGGAAAAACATAACCCACGGTCCCATAACTTGATCTTGTCAAATGTAAACAGGACTTGTGCGCTATACGTTTTCTGAAATCATACAATAGCTTTGCATGAGGAGATTTAAGTCTTTATTCACAGATAGTTCAGATAATTTTATTTATGCCTATTCAAATTTACCATCAATGATACCAAATTATGTGTCTTTTAATGCAAGTTCTATGCAAACAGTTCTAAACTAAAGCATAGTCCTGGCTAGTTCATAAACAATAATCCCAAATCAATCCAATTCAGACAGTAAAAATTATTCAAGGAAAGAACTTTTTCAGGCTCATCACATGATCCAAGCATTTCCAGTTTTTACAACCTCAAATCTATCAGA